TTGGTCAATATTAAACAAGTATTAGATCGCACAGTAATGTGTAAAAACAATCGTCAGGCCGTTGGCGCCCTCTGCAGGCCTTTGTTGTAATGCGTAATGTACATTAGCGCTATTGTTTATAATACATTATGTATTTTAACAGTGTTTTTCAATAAAACCATATGATTTCTTGCTTTTGATACTTTATTCAAACTAATTATTATTGCCTCGTTGCTATTATATATGTATTTTAAGTAATTTTAAAGGCTATTGTTCACTTACATCTATTTTTATTACCACAAAAAAATGTATTATAATTATAGGGCCCTATGAAATCCGTTTTATTTCCAAAAATTTATTATAATTATAGGGCCCTATGAAATCCGTTTTATTTCCAAATTCTGTTTTTTCCATTTTCATTTTTCATTTGTTTTAATGGTTAAATTAAATTTTATTAATCAAAAAGCCTGTCTAATTAATTGAGTTTTACAGTTTTATCTTTACCAAATTCTGTTTTCCATTATTTTCTGGATTCCATTTTAATGGTTCCATTAAATTTTAACAATCAAAAGCATCTCCAATTAATTGATTTTATTTTAAAAAATAAAATAAAATAAAAGTTTTTCAGAAATACTGCACATTTAAATTTTTCTCCTAAATAAATTCTGGTAAATAATATTTCTGGTAAATACTCCTTTAAAAAGTGTTTTTTGATTATAATGTTATTATTAGTAGACTAGAACACGTGGATATGTTGTCCAGACAAATTTCACGTGACTTAAAACAGGACAACCTATTGAACGGACCTCAAATTAAATATGTCTTTCTATGCTGACTAAAGTCCTTAAGAGTATATGGAAATAATTTTTTGTTTGTTTGTTTTTTTCCCCAAAATACATAAAACAAGTAAATCTGTGACACAATCTATCTAATAAAATATAGTTTAATAAAATATTCTTAAGTAAAATTGTTGGGTTTTTGTGGGAAATGAATCGTTTAGATTAATCGATTAATTAGTCGATAGATTAATCGAAATAAAAATAGTCGTTAGTGGCAGCCCTAGAATAATAATAAAAAAAAAATGTCATAGAGCTATTGTAAACATTTTAATAAATTAAGTTGTTTTTATGCATTCAAATAATCAGGCATGCTTAAACAGAATTCGGTAGCAATAAAACACAGATGGTGAGAAAAAATAAAACATTTCATAGGACTTGTTAAACTTTTAATAAATTGATGTTAAATTGTATAATTTTCATGATTTTAGTCAATTAGACATGATTTTTGATTAATACAATTTAATTTAAGCATTGAAAAGGAGTCCAGAAAAATTAAAATGGAAAAAATAAAACTGAATCCAGAAAAATTTTAATGGAAAAAAATGGAATTTGGGAGAAAAAAAAACGGAATTTTGGGGGGGAAAATCGAACAGATTTCATAGGGCCCTAGATACTATTAACCTTACTAAATAGTTAAATTGACTATAACAGTCAGACTGAAAAAAAAACAAACTGAAAAAACAGTGGTTTATGCAGTTTTAGTATCCCGTGTTAAAACGCCTTTAATACACAGCGTCTCACAGTTTATCGCGGTAAACGAGTGTCATCACGTACCCTTGTAGTCGTGAGCGGGGTAAACGAAACAGTGCCCCGGCAGAGTGAAGATCTTTTTATGGACAGACTCATACAGTCTGTGAGGACTACCTGAACGAAGACAGGTGCAGAGCGTTACTGTGGCGCCATCATGTGGACATTTGAAGTACTGCAAAAACAACACAAAATACACAGGAAAAATCTAATGTAATCTGATGTAATGGATAATCAATATATATATATATATATATATATATTGCAGCTTCAGTGATTATATTCTGCTTTTAATTTTGGTATTACGTTTTCTAAACAGCTCGTCATTTGACTAGTTTCACAATAAGGGCAGGTAAATATTGCCATTTATGACTGCGTGTGGTTATATTGGCGCATATAAATGTACAAGATTGAATCTATTTTCTTTTAGTGAAAAATAGTGTGAAAATATAATTTGCACCGAATTTTCACTATATTTTGCTTGCACTGAATTTTTTTTTTTGATGCACTGAATATTATTATAAACCCTAAAACTATATCGTCCTCGAGGGTGGATATATGAAGTGTTTGTGTGGTTTGACCTTGCTGGAAGTCGGTGCGTCCGCAGCCGCGGATGAGCAGAGCGTCTCCGGTGAAGGCCATGCGCTCGTCTTCAGAGACGTACGTCACGCATCCGTCTGTGTGTCCCGGCGTCTCTCGCACCGTCAGACACTGAAACAAGAGTCATAATCAGCACTTCATTCATTCTAGAGCCTGCTCAACTCTCTCTGACTCTGATAATCCTGATCATCAACACTGTAAAACATCAGCACTGTCAGTAACACAGATACATAAATGATCTTTGTGATGTTTTACAGTGTTGTTGTCAGATGATCAGGATTATCAGAGTCAGAGAGAGTTGAGCCGCTCATGATCTTGTGGATTCAAGATTTATT